AAAAAAAAAAAAAAAAAAAAAAAAAACCAAAGTGGTTCTACATGCCACAATAAAACGTTCGCGATCCGGCAGGACTGCCACCTTAGATTCGCGAACCTCAACAACGGCGGGATAGACCCGAAGGACCCGGCAACCCCGAACAACTGGACGCTCCCCGTTAGGCCCAAGGCCAGCTGTCCCACGGCGTTCCCAACACTGGATGCGGGTTCTCGCGGGAGCGTGACGCGAGACCCGCTATTCACTTAAAGATAGTAAGGGAAGACACAGAACACTGCATGAAAGTCCTCTCTTTTTTTCCTTCTTTGTTTTTTCAAACACCCCCCCCCCCACTCTGCCCTATTCTATCCTGGAAGGCACCTGTCTGGTTGCTTCTTACCGGCAAGGAAGTTAAGAACAAGATACATGATAGCGAACGGGGGAGAATAGACGACAAGAACAAGAAAGGTCTCGGCCTTACTCTGGCAGCCGTAGATGCTACAGCATCTTGGTTGTTGAAAGATTAATCATTTTGCAAAGGAGCCATGGCATTGAGCGAATTGGTGTCCAATTGGATGCTGGCCATTTATTCATTTCTTTGACTTTGGCCTTCAGCTGTATTTTTCTGAGTCAGTTGACTACTGACTTCAACGGAGAGGCACTCTTATATGCAATGATTGGTGCGATTGGCTTCTGTGTCCAGTGACCCATTGGAAGTTTTTATGCTGTGTTTGCTGCAGATCCAACCGCTAGTCGAGCCGACGAATGTGCTCTTGAAAACAGAGCTGCATTATTATTACACATCTGTTTTTCCAAGTACGTATTGCTCTTAATCAGTATTTTGCATGCTTATGGTCTGCAAAAGATGTGTGCTGCTGTATGGTGGGGTACGTGGTGAGGTAATAATTGTTGGTGGTCCTGACGAAGAAGAGGTGGGGGAAGAAGGGGGGGGCATGGGAAACGATCTTCCTCTTTTTCTGCGTCATGTCCATGATATGAGGAGTGATGGCTCAAGACAGGAATACTTGCTGGGGAGACTTGCATTAGATTCGGAATGATATGGAAAAAGGTTAGCATGAGGATTATGTGGAGCCTGTGGCTCAAAGTCAAAAACTTCAGCTTATTTTCAAATTGGCCATGCAAGTTACACTTAAGCTGTTTCTCATGTAGGCAAACACAGTATTTTCTGTCTGTCTGTCTGTCTATCTATCTATCTATCTATCTATCTATCTATCTATCTATCTATCTATCTATCTATCGATAAATCCATCGATCCATCGATGGATAGATCGATAGATCGATATCTCTTATATATATGACGATATATACCTTAAAGCAAAGAGCGGTCCGCGCGTGACGCTCCCACTGGGCCCGGCAAAAATCGGGCAGGGAGTTCTGCGCGGGGTGCCTCAGGGGACCAAGGAGGGTGCGTCAGTTGGGGGCGCGTCGGTTCATGCGGCTGGGCGAACGGCACACTAGCGGGCAGAGGGCCGGCACCAAGAGTCGAGCCGCGCAGACTGCTCCGCACAGACTGCCGGCGGGTGAGGGCGAGGCCCGCGGGACGAGCGGGAGGAGGAGCGGGAGGAGGAAGGGGGGAAGAGCAGTAGGAGCAGCGGGAGGAGGAGGAGGAGCGGGAGGAGCAGCAGGAGGGCAAGCGGGAGAAGGGTGATCCACCATCTGTTGTGCGTGCAAGCGCGCACGAGAGAGAGAGAGAGAGAGAGAGAGAGAGAGAGAGAGAGAGAGAGAGAGAGAGAGAGAGAGAGCTTAGCAATCCTTAGTTATTCCCTCAGTTATTTCCATAGATAGGATGAGCAACACACCGGCCAACAGGTAAGTCTCCAACCCCGCGACTGGCGTCACGCTACTTCCATCGATAGGATGAGCAAAATCGAATGAAACTTCCTCTAGAACTTCGAAATATACAGTACTACTGGCAGTGTATATTTCCGTGTTCTAGCGGTAGATTCGTTCGATTTTGCTCATCCTATCGATGGAAGTACACTCTCTCTCTCTCTCTCTTTCACACACAGACACACACACACGTGTAGCAGGAGCAGCAGCGGGAGGAGCAGCAGGAGGGGGAGTGGGAGAAGGACGATCCATCATAAGTGGTGTGAAAGGGAGGACACGCATGCGCGCGCGCGCGTCGAGAGAGAGAGAGAGAGAGAGAGAGAGAGAGAGAGAGAGAGAGAGAGAGAGAGAGAGAGAGAGAGAGAGAGAGAGAGAGAGAGAGAGG